CGGGTTTTCGGGCTACCTTAGACGGAGGTTGGTGAGAGGTGGTAGCAAAATGGCATCTTAAATTATACCTATCAAACAACTTCTTTTATTTGCCCAAAGTTTATTCACTTATTGTCGGTTTCGGTGTTAAGAAATGTGCATGTATTCGTCACTTTTGTGTCCCCATTTTAGCGCAACTGTACACGAATTTGCCTTCTAACCGATTTTTCCTTGACTTTGAGTGAGATTTATGAACGCTTGATAATACTCGTCCGTGACTTTACGAGTGAGATTTTTTACGCTCTAAGTAGTGATGTGCTCATCCCCACCTTACCTCACCTTTTTAATGCCTTCGCTCACGTAAACTACTTTTAAACTGCTTCTGCTATTGGTCACTCAACAGATAGTCAAAAAATACATTTTACTTGCGTCTTTACGTCCCAGTACTTCATCCACTGTTCCATTCTTAATAGCATTATTGCAAACACCCGAGTTGTATTATTTCATGCCTTTTGAAGTCATTCTGGGCTATCCGTCACTGGATGGTTATCGGGTGGGGTTGATTTGGTTCCAACGCTGCACCCAGGTAACCACTTACTTTTGACCTCAATCGTTACATATTCGTTATAAGTGGGAATGGATGCATTTGAAAGCATGTTTAGTCCCTTTTTTTAGCTGTCGATGGACTAATTTTACAATATGCGTTAAATCTTCTACGTGCAAGAAGTGAACCTGAAATGTCCTATTGTGTGTTTAGATCCAATTCTTTTCCGTGCAATCATTTCCGTGTTGGTGAACTTTGAGGATCATATGTCTCTCTTCTATCCTCTGATTTCCGCTCTGGACAGTTTTAACAAGCGCAAATCCCTCCCTATTGAGACCCTTAACACGGTTCTCGAGAACATGGCTACGTATTTAGAGAATTTGCCACGGCTGACAGACGAACAGAAGTGGAATAGCTTCATTTCCTCCGGATGGGCTGAATTAATGCCGCTGTTTGAGACATTCTTCCGAAAACTTGCACAAATTCGACCCCTTCCGACCAACCTTGCTGCAACTCTTCGTTCCATGATCTGCATCCTCCGCGCACCGACCAGTTCTACTATAAAGGTTGTTCCATGAGCTTTGCTTGCCATCAACTTTAATCAGCTAAAATTCTTTCTAAAAAGTACAACGCCAATTCTTATCTAATCATTTGGATAGCTTTGATGCAAATAGGCATCCGTATTTTTGCATTTTCAAAACAATAAGTTTTTTATTCAGCTCTTGAGACTTTCTTACAGGCGAAAGAAGGCATAATACGCGATAAGAAGACATGTGCGTGACATCAGGACAGCCATTTGACTCGTCAATGACACAATGACCACATCTCCAAATGGTCCCTCCACCCTAACCTTGGGTTCAACAAACAACCAACATTGTACACTCACAATGACTTTATAGATTTACTTATTCTTTCCTAATCTTAAGCTCCACTAGCGGTTGATTTAGATGCTCAGTACAGGTGTCTTTCCTCAAGGTTTACCCATTCAAACGTAGGCATTAAGTTGATTAAGACTGTTATCTGCCCTTGTCTTCAGTCTCTCATCAACGTGGAAAGGGAGTTCCTACAAGCTCAGTGTGATGTCCCATAGGAGTGATGTTGAAAACACTATTTTGCTTTGATACTTCAGTTAATGCCACTTGAAGGGGACTTTGGAACTTCAAAGACCTAAACTAATTGCACTTTGTCATTAATCCACTGCTGTATGTCAGGTGGTGCGAATCAATTTTGAGGCACTGTTGCATCAACTTAAATTATATTCTTTTTCAAAGTAATTAAAGGAAAGTAGACAGGAAAAAGTTGTGTGCTTGCCTCGACTGCCATACTCCTTGCTAACATTTCCCTTAAGATGCTTCACCCAAGTAAAATGGAGAATTACGCCTACTTTCATGTGGGCGGTATGTGTGACCGGATTTGTGCTAATCTCTGTGTTTGAATTCCTCTAAGAGGCGAACGTATTGACTGTGCTCAAATTTGGGTTTTTAGCAAGGTGTGACAGACGCCTACGCCACCATCCTTCGATTGGTGATCGAACAATGCCAAGTGGACTCCTCACTTCTCATTGAAATCTGCTCGCTCTGTAATCGAACTTTTAAGGTACAAAATGCCACCTTCTGACCATAGCCAAAATTCCCTCTCATCCTATTTACGCCTCTTTCCGTCACGTAAACAGACCGCCTTTCGATGCACTATACCTGATTTGTGCTGCTCTACTGTTCCAATCTAACACCGACTTCAAGCGTATTCGCAAGGAGTAATTGAGGACTTCTATTTTACTGCTTGCCTGGAGCGACTATTCTCTCCATCCAAAGGCAGTCTGTTGTTTACTTCGAGTGCACTACGCTATTCCCATTCTGTCTCCCTAGCAGTAGACCTTATAATGGTAGACAGTGTAAAAATTTGTTTCTCACCCACTCTTAAGTGGGTGGGTGAGGTACTCCGTTGAAGACGCGTCGGTCACTTTCTGATTTGTTTGCGTTATGCTGTTTGTCTAACTTTTTCAACTCTTGCTTGTACAAAACTGTGAAAAGGGGGTAAACGACATGAATATCTTTAGGGTGACAAAAATTTCACTCCAACACAGATGCATCAGCACTTGTTCTTCTAGTTTAGATTCATAATTGATATTGTTGCGTTGAGAGTTTCACAAAAACAATTGGCCACCATTGAAGTGTTTTGTGGACGCGTAACGTCTCAAATCCATCCGTTCATCTTCATTTTCCCCTGAAGGAGAGGGCCAAATCTCAGTTGACCAAAATCGTAGTGGAGTCACTCATGAATGCGCTGAAGTTTCGCATCTACCTTCCGGACGAAAATTTGCTGAAAACGCTCCAGGTATGGCGCTACCTTTTAACTAGTTATGAGACAAAAGAAACGTGCTGTAAACAGTCTTTGTTTTGATTTCACCTTGAAAAAAGAAGTAAAAATGAGAACCTCCCGTGTATTAGCAGCGAAGCTTAAGACAAGTGCCTTGAAATGATCATATCAAGGCTCCTCAGAAGCATTATGCGCAATTTAGGGTCATTTGTTAGGACAATCCTTTTTGTCAGTCCTACAAAATGAAGAGAAAAGCTTTGAAGGCCATAACCACACAGCCCTGGTAGTCTTTTTCTTCAATTTTCAGCTTGTAATAATGGACGCAGGTGGAACACTGGAGCCTAATCAGATTTCGCCCAGTCTGACAGACATCTTCAATCCGCAGACATTCCACCTCTTTTCAACTGGAGCGGCCGAATTGATGAGGCCGCACATCGTAGATTGCTTAAACATTCTTTCCGATGTTCACATGATTCGCAAGGTAATGAATATGCTGTCTTGTTTTTTCCTTAAGTAGTGCCCTTCTTCCCTACAGAGTCGTGTTTCCTTTTACGGGGTTATGCTTTTAGCAACTGCTTACCGGTAAATTAATGGAAATTGTGGTGTCAAGGGAAGGCTCGACTGCAGCCTAAGTCTATCCAAGACTTCTCATACTATCCTCTCAAAATACATCGACGTAATTTGCGCTTTTAATTCAGAATGCGTGAATTTCGTACTCAAATCCACAGCTTTTGCTTTTTGGTGGGCAAATTATGGACGAAGCATTTATTAAAACATCCGGAAAGAACGCTAGTAAAAGCGTCATGGAGAATTGGTTTCAAAGGAGTTGAAAGTCGAAAGTTTTGGAATGGAATGGGACTGTAGATTACGACTTTTTTCATGTTGACTGACTTACTGATGACATTGTGCTAAAAAAGGGAAATCTTTTGCATGGTCAAAGCTGTTTACGTGGCATTAAAAAGCACAAAAAATGCGCTATCCCACCCATCGAATTATCTCTTGACCGACGTTTGATGGGAAAACAACATTGAATGGAACATTCAGCCAAAAAATGGATTAAAGTTTCCTCCCCTAACTACCATCCACCAATTTTAACTTTACTTAGTGATGAAGCTGCATGGATAATTGCCCCAGAAATAGTCACCGTATAAGTGTTGAAGTGCTTTTGCAAAGAAATAATGCTACATTTAAGGGAACACGTTAAGTTGGTTTTGGTTTACTTGAAAACCAAGCATCATTCAGCCATCTAAGGCATGTGTATCAAGGGGAATTTTGTTCCCTGCTCACACTCAAGTGTGGGATACTGATCGAGAGTACAAATTTGAAACAGGTGAAACAGGCTCAAAAGACGGCTGCCCAACCGTTGCAATCCGTGAATCCCAATGACGGGAACAGCGGTGCGGGGACAGGCAGTCAGTGGACATCAACAATGGGTCTTTCCAGTAGTGGAATGCAAAATTCGGGTTTTGCCAATTCCAGTAGCTGCCCACCTACAGCTGCGGCCAACTTGCCCTCCTTGCACGAAGACACTATTGGGGCTCACCTCAAGTCCGGTCTTGCGCAGTATGTGGCCCTTGAACTTTCACGTCATTCCAACGTCAAAGACGAGGACGTCCTCCATATGCTCTCTCCGGGTCTTCTCACCGAGGACTCGAGTTCTGGAATTTTCGATCCACCCATGAGACGAGGAGGCATCACCAGTAGTGGTAGTGGGAAGCAGACCACTTCATCAATGGCTTCAACTGCTCAACAACAACAGCAGCAACAACAACAGTGTCAGCAATCACAGCCTTCAGCTCCAAAACTCTCCGGTTCCCTTTCTACAGGTGGTAGCTTTCGTAGTGTGGGTCAATTTAGTGGAGGGGGAAGCTTTAGTGGAGGACGTCAGTTCGGTCGTAACTCCACTTCTCTCACTTCTGGTGGAGGTGACGGTGCAGGGAGTGATGGCGGATCGGTTTACTCAGTACCAAAAGTCTCCACATCTAGTGGTGCAACTTGCGGTGCTGGGGGCGCAGCTAGTGGCGGAGGCCACATTTCATTGGCGGTTCCAAACCTTGCAAGTCGAAGTCCCAGTATTGCCTCGGTACTAGCAACACCTGGTGGAATAGGTCAACAATCCATCATGTCAATTGGACATTTTGCATTAGTGCCAACTTTGTCCCACACCACGAGACTGGATGCACCGATTCTGCAGTACCTACCGTGGCTCAAATCTATTCCCACTTTTATGCAGCAAGGGTATGCCATTGCAAATTTTTAACCTCATTCCTCTTTGATAGCAACTCTTTCAGATCTGTTCATCAATGACTTTTGACCTCCAACATTATCATATTCACCTATGCAATTAATGATTTCCCTTCAGTTCATGTGTAGCATTTTTGGGCTCTCAATCATACCCTTTACGCAGTTCATCTGAAACCTTTAATGGTCTCGCTTATATTAGCCTATAAAAGTTCGATAAATGCATTGTACAGGGATTTTATTTGGGACCTCCAAATCCCAGTTGTGGCGCTCTGAGATTTCCCTGAAGACGAGAGGAGACGTGATGATAGAGCAAAAAATGTTCGACCGGCGCACAGAAGGGATGCGAGACCACTGGCATGCTGCTCGGCGAAATTACAGGAAAGGAGAATTTGGGGGACCTTGAAACTGAAGTGAAGATTTGAAAACAACAAAGATATTAAATCGACAATCATGAATCTGAAGCTGGAAGTTAAATAAAGGGCGAACAAATTTTCCTTAAGATAATTAAGACATGAGTGGCAAAAATGGCTGTCTACGCTATTGGAATAATTTCGTCAAAAGTCCGAGTAAGCCATTGAACTCCCTTTTTACCGTGATGCCCTGTCCACAATGGTTGTGGGAAGTTTTTAGTGCTTGTGGCAATTACTTTGTAGGTGTTTGATGTTCCGACTTGTTGATGCTTGGATAAACTGGTTGGATGTTTCGTTATTTAAGAGCGTCTTGTATGCATTAAGAAATGGCAGTTGACCGTTTGATGCCCTTCATCCACCTACGCAGTTATCAATTTGTCGCAACAAATGAAGGCCATTGTGAACACTCCCACTTTTAACCGCGGAAAGTTCGAACATTCCTGTTGGTCATTGCTTAAAGTACACCAAATGAAAATGAGGCTTTACTTTAGCAAGTTTAATCTAATCGGATGAAATGAGTTCAGCTTTCTTCAGTCTCGATGCATTGTGGGTGTAATATTTTGTCAAATCTTTTATTCATTCCACTGGCCAGCAGTAAACCAGAAGTCTTATTGACAGGCCTAATGTCAACACTGCCTTCACACTGCCCTGTTAATGGGAGGGAACTTCACGGTGTAGAAGTGAGGACGGACTGTGATTAATCACTTGATGGACTTCAAGGGCCACTGTAGTTACGATGATGAAGGCAGCCACCACTGATTCTGCGATCCTAGCGTGTCAAGTACACGACGATAAAATCTTATTTTGCATTATCTGAGGTGAGATTAAGATGGAAAAAATATGCAATCATTAACACTAACATTTCAGACCGCGAGACTTTTTGCTGTGCTTGGAGCGAGTTAGGACTCTGACGTGGCTCCTCCTTGGCGCCACAATGCACACTGCTCTCACACGTGACGCCACCGGTCTCACTTGCCGACCTCTCCCCTTCACTTTCGTCAACTCGGTCGCCGACCTTGTCAAGTTTCTCATTTCTGGCTTTCCAGATCAGCAAAAAGTGCGTCCATCAAAATTTTCTCGTGTCGTGTTATATTTCAGAATTACCTATTAACCACCTATTCTTTCCAAGGTTATCTATTTCCTTCAAATTTTCATTGTATCATTTCAAAAGGCAGTAAATGTGCATGCATGAAAATTAACTCAAAAAATCTTTAATCTACAAAGAAGAACTTTTGTTACTCGGTTCCTAGTTGTGACTAAAGTAATTTTTAGCATTACTTCCTATGCAAATCAACAAGTAAGCCATTTTCTTTGATTCCTTTTTGGGTGTTACACTTCTTTCTTTAAAACCAAGAGCCATTCTAGCTAGAGCTAAGTTTGATAGAAAGTTTGGCGTTGTTTTGGTGTCTTGAATCCTTCCTGAGGATGAAAGAAATCTTACTATCAAGGTGGAAGGTTTGTCACCAATACACTGCAGCGTTAGGAGCTAGTGGCGTGGCTCGGAGGCCATGACTTCCGGCGAGAGTACAAAGAAGTGTCTTAACCGCCCGCAAAACCAAACTGAGGGGTTAAGCACACAGTTGAGGTAACGCATAGTCCCCTTTGTCCACCCTCAGTCGCCGACCACATAGTCAAAGTCACGACAATGACACTCACGAACCAAACCCGTATTTGCTTTCATCGGAAAGGGCATTCAAACGCATTCAAACCGATGTTCTGCCTCTTTTGAATGCTATACTGGGGAAGGGAAAGTGTGGCGATCATCCCACCCGCCTATCGTGGGTAGTATGAAAATTGACATAGAAGGCGCATCATTGTGCAAAGAACGATGTTTATCCTAATTTTATTTGGTTTAGTTTTGTGCCTACTTCTGCCTTGCCAACTTATTCTCGCCTCAATTTCATCCACTTATGACTAATCGGAATTCTAAGCACACAATGGAACGGTGAAATGGGTGAGCAGCTTCATCACCAGCTTTTCCGACTATGGTTGACATCCAGTACAGCTTCAAAACTCGTCAGCTTTCTTAGAGAACATGGAATTCGATTAGTTGTCTACAAAGGCGCCATTTTCATCGCATTTGTTGGGAAGCAGCTGTTGATTTTTGCATCTGGAGGATGCATTCTCCTTTGGTCACCTCATTGTGTAGCCTTCAGCAATGGAAGTTCGATTGGTTGTAAGTAAAGATTGAATTTGCCTTTGCCAGTCCAGAGGACAGAAGCAGTCACTATAAAAATGGGCGAAATAGAGTAACAACAGCTTCACACTTTAATTTGCTTACTGACTTCAAGTTTTGTTTTGGCAGATTTTGTATCACCACGACGTGTTTGCAGCAT